ACACAAAACCAGGATCTTTGTGGAACCTGAACTCAGAGCTGAGGGTCTGAACAGAACCAGAACACAGTCTCATGATGCTGAAGTTGTAAGATCTGGGCCTGTATTTATCAAGTATCTCAGAATTACTCAAAAGAACACGGCTAAGAACTGACGTAAGAGTAAAAAAAGTCTTGTCTCAAAGCTGCGCGCAAAGTTGGTCATCAAGCCTCATAGTCCTAAATTGAGTGAAGTGTAGGACAAATCTTAAGTGTCAGTCTGACGGCTGATTCACGACACTTTGCTGTGGCGCAAACAGGATTTTGGATGACGCTGTATGCAAGGACCAATCACTGAAGAGATTTCCTTATTAAGAATATTCTCAGATAAATTCACTCTGAATGGTGAAACTTTACGTTCAAGTTTACGTTCAACACACATTTGACCATTAAGAATTTTTAAGAGAATATATTATGCACATAGGCACATTGGAAAAAAGTTCATCTTTACATGAGCGCCATCAATTAATTGTGTGTTGTCAAATAATTCAGAAACATTCTTCCTCTGTCCATCACAGGCCCCTGCTCCTCACGTCCTGAGAGGCCTCTGGAGCTTCTTAAATACCTGGCAGAGGGAGAGAGATTCTCAGCTTTAAGACATTTGATAACTTGCTTTTATTCTGAAGTTTGAAAGTCGGAGTAAATTTTAAAGTTCTCAGCACTTTAGACTAAAATGGCACTTTGAGAAACTTGATAAATACCGGCCCAGATATTTTGGTGGGAAATAAGATGTCAGAGAACATTTTCCTCATCATGTTAAAAGAAATACTGCTTCCTCCTGAACATTTTGTGGCTGCAGATTAGTTGTATATAAATGTTCTACCAACCGTTTCTGCATCGATGTATTTAAAGGGTCATTTCAGCACTTTTAACATCGTATGAGATGATCCGTTATTGATTATCGTTATCGTGGTTCTGTGTTAAATGTCCTCGTCCTCCTAGGGACTAAAAGCCAGGATTGTTCCTCCCACCTAAAGAAGTGCAGCACTAAATCACTGGGTTTATTTTGTTAAATGAAAGTTCGTCTTTTCAGCAACTTTCCTCCCATCAGTCACCTCTTCAGTCCCAGTTCAACAGTGGCTGTTTAAACAGAGAATGACAATAATAATAATAACATCTGTAATAATGTAAAATATGCCCTTCTAAGTGCTTACAGCTACATTTTAGTGTTATAAACCATTTACCATGTTTAGATTCAGCTTTAAGGCGGCAAACAGGTCACCGTTACAGACTGTGGTGCGTTCAAGTGCAACATTAAGACGTTTGACAGATCCACACCGATTTTCTATTTTAAAGTCATCTCAGCTGCGACCTATCAGACTGTAAATATGCTGCTCTTTTTGATCAGCCCTTTCTTCACGTGAGCTTCCGTTCAGTTGTTCATGTTTGGAAACAGAAGCCATTTTCTCATGCAGTATTCATCAAGAGGTCTGTTTACCTTCCAGTATCAATACACAGTGTTTTACACTGAAATATAAATGTCTAATTAAATATCTTCTTCTCCCTGGTGTTTAAATATATATATATACACAGATATATAAATACCAGGCCTGTGTATCCGATAACTCTTCCTGAAAGCTTTTTAAATGTCCAGATTTCTTTGCGGTAAAGTGAGACAAAGACTCTTCTGTATTTATATTCTCTATGTGTCCTGTTTGTTTATGAGCAAGTCAATGATTTGTTTGTAATCGTATCACTTCTCAGATGCACTCTTTTATACACGATCCTGATGTTTGAATAAACTGTAAAAGTTGATTCTGGCTCAGTTTGTTTCATCACGTCTCCGATCACCTTTAGCTGCCAGACGGCATTTTTCAAACTGCTCATTCATTTTAAACAGTTGTACAGTTTTAGTATATTTGTATATATAAAAATGGGTGAGTTCAAACAAACGGTGGTCTGTCCTGAGTTGTTTAACACATCTAGATGTGAATGCCAGGAAATGAGAGCTGAAATTCTGAACTCATGTCTCATTCTCATCTCTTGATCTTAAATCTTAAACCCAAATGACTTCAGTGAACAACAAAAACAAAGTTACCGTTCCAATACTTTTGGAGGGGACTGTATGTAAACACACGTTCTCCCCACTGTAGATCTATCTACACTGGGGAGAACAAGTATTTGATACACTGCTGATTTTGCAGGTTTTCCTACTTACAAAGGAGAGGTTGGAGTCTGTTTGACTGAGTGTGTGGACAGGTGTCTTTTATACAGGTAACGAGTTCAAACAGGTGCAGTAATGTGGTAACAGGTAATGTGTGGAGAACAGGAGTTCCTACAATGTGATTTTTCTGGATTTTTGTTTTAGATTCCATCTCTCACAGTTGAAGTGAACCTATGATAAAAATTACAGACCTCTACATGCTCTGTAAGTAGGAAAACCTGCAAAATCAGCAGTGTATCAAATACTTGTTCTCCCCCACTGTATATATACACACACACACACACACACACACGGGAACTATTTAGAGTTGAAAAATAACAAGCTTCTGCTTCATCCTGTTCCTTTTCAGACATTTTGCACATTGTTTAACAATTTATAGATATTTTCCCATTTGTAAGTTGTAACACACTTATTTTCATTTTAATATTGTTTGAAAGAAAAATAGACAAACGCCCCCCCAAAAAAGCTGATAGGATAAATGAAATCCTGACTTTGAAGAAGCTGGAGCATCTTTTTATTTTAGTCAAACATTTCCTGTGTCACAAAGCACAGAGCCGCTCTCTGTTTTAAATAAAGTTTTTATTAAAGGTGATCCAGCTCAATAATAACAGCAAACTGAACACAAGCCTCCTGTAAACTGATGATAATAATAAAAAAACAAAAACTGCTGCAGGTACAGGAACACACACACACACACACACACACGCACACACGCACACACGCACACACGCACACACACACACACACACGCACACACACACACACACACACACACCTCGGCTGTGACTCTGCTGTAATAAATTATATGTACAGTCCAGGTCCATCTGAGCCTCCACCTGACACACAGGAGGAGAGAGTCGTCACTCTGCAGCGCCGGGCCGGAGTCTGCAGAGAGGAAGCACAAATAATAAAGTTAAACACAGAGAACAACAACAACAACAACAAAACAAGCTCCTTCAGGCCTGATCACTGATGTGGAACATTATAATAATAAAAATTAGCGATGCACCGAATGTTCGGTCAGCGAAATTAATAGCAACAAAGCACTTTTGGTGTTCGGCCTAACGAGTCAAAAGACTGATTTAATATTACCGAACAACTTATGTAGGCAGTGTGGAAGCATTTTAAAGTGTCCGAGCCGTTTGCAGACGCTGTTCTGCTGAACTGTCTCCCAGCACATCCGCTCCATCTGTGGCTGACTTCTTAGAAAAGAGCCGCTTTGAGTGTTTCTGTCTCCCGTCTGTGAGAAGGAGATTAAGCTAGCAGCACCTACATTTTGAGTGCACACGTACTCAAGCCTTTACGGTAAGAGTGAAGCGGCCCAGAGCGAGCTGACAGGCAGGTTAGAGACTTTATCCTGTCAGGTTGTCTCTTTAGTATGAAGACAGGCTGTGAAGACGAGAACCATACTGCATTATTTATCAAACCGGGTCGGACTGGATGGATTTAACGCGACGAGGAAACACATGTGACAACGTCCGGTTTTCAAAATAAGGCGTCTGTACAGGATGGAAATAAGATTTTATGTTAATAGTTCTGAATGTTCTGCCTCAGATTTGTGAAGTGATCCACTTGTTTGGCATCAAGTGTTCGTTCTGACCAGAAAGAAAAGTTTAACCCCACAATTAACTTTCACTCAGGAGCAAAAATCAGCCTTTAAACTGGAAAGAAATGATGATTTGACATTTATCGTGATAATTATCGCTATCGAATGGTGTGAAGTGTTTTATCGCCTGGCCCTGAGAGATGACATGAAATAACACAGTGGATGATAAAACACGACAGCAAAGTAAGATGAAAAACAGAAATCACAGTGAAATATAACTTTAAACTACAGAGAAGAAAAGACGAAAGTAAGAACAGTCAAATAAACAGGCGGCTCAGATAAGATCAGGAAATGCTTTCCGATTAGAGCTGCAACAATCAGTCCATCAGTTTTCAACAATTAAATAAATCGCCAACTTCTTGATTATTGATCAATCGTTCAAAATGTTCAAATTCTGATTCCAGCTTCTCAAAAACGAATATTTCCTGCTGTCTTTGCTCCTCTGTGACAGTAAACTGAACATATTTGGGTTGTGGTCAAAACAGGACATTTAAGGACGACATCTCGGGTTTTTGGGAAACACTGATCGATATTTTTTAAAACCATTTTCTGACAGACCAAACAACTAACCGATCAATCGTGAAACTGACGGACAGATTCATCTCTAATGAAAATAATCGTTAGTTGCAGCCCTACTTCCAAAAATAGACTTTCACGAAGACACCGAGAGCCTCGGAGGTCCTGACGGCAAAAGCTCTGTCCCCCTTTAGTTCTTAGGCTGGACTCATGGAGAGACAGGAGCCCCCTGTCCCAAGATTTCAAAGTACACAGAAGCTCATAAGGAGTTATCCAATATAACCCAGGTCACGGAGAGCCTTAGAGTAATCAATAAGAAAGGGGGGCCGGGGTCACCAGCAGGGGGAGCTACAGGATGAAACAGGGTCATTAGAAGCTCACCATTTATCGGTTTTGTTCTGGGTGGACTCGCTCTTCCCGTCACAGGCGACGATTTTGACCTTGTCGACCTTCACCAGGTCGGTCACCTCCCTGAACTCCACGTCGTTGAGGACGAACGTCCACACGTTGTCACAGAACCGGTAGGTGTTCAGGGAACCCTGGAGAACAGAGAGTCCAACAGAACGTTCACTTTCAACGTACTTTTACTTTACTTGAGTATTTCAATTTGAGCAACTTCTGGTCCACCAAGTACATGTTGCTGATTATACTTTACTGCAGCATGAGTACTTTTACTTACTTAAGTACATTTTGTTGATAAAACCTACACACTTTTACTTAAGTGAAGTTGAAATGCAGTACTTTTACTTGTAGCAGAGCATTTTACAGTGGTGGTGAAGTAGTTTCGCAGAAGTTTCGCTTTTTACTTTTACTTGAGTACATTTGTTATAGTGAAACACTGACAGTGTTTCAGCATGAGTACTTTTACTTTAAAACTTTAAGTACATGTTGCTGATACTTACATACTTTTACTTAAGTAAGATTCTGAATGCAGTGCTTTTACTTGTAGTGGAGTATTTCCACAGTGTGGTATTAGTACTTTTACTGAAGTAAAGGATCTGAATCCTTTTCTCCACCACAAAAATTAAACTATTGATTAATATTAATTTAAGGCCTGACCCCTTTAAAACTCTGAAGACACGGCACTGGTTCGTTCTGAGGTCAGAGGTCACAGGAAGGGGACTCACCCTGAAGTTGACTCTGTTGCGGACTCTGTTGGCGAGCGCCGTGTTGATGGCTTTGTCAAACTGAAGGAGGACCTGGAGAGCCAGCTGAGGCGTGATCTGCTGAGTCTGAACACACAACACTGAATTTAGTCTGACAGCACAAACCTCCCGGGTCACAAGCAGTGTCACCGCCTAGGAACTACTTCCTGTACGGTGACGGTGTCAAACAACGTCTGATCTCGCGGTGTTTGCAAAGACAAATACCGCAAAGATCAGACACATCAGGCAAAAGGTGGTTTCCAACTGGAGCAGCCGGTCGCAGGACTCCAAAAACTGCGGCCACCTTGCTTCTGCGCGGTTTTAATGTCATGTGACATGGAGACGTTTTGCAGCGCTGGCTAAAGTCTGACCACATTTCTAATCAGCATGGTAAGTTGAGCATGCATCACTTTCAGTCAGCGCTGCATGACGTCAAACAGCCTACACCAACAAAGAAGAAGAAATACAGAAGAATACAGAGCAACTAGCGCTTTGGCGGTGAAACTGCAGAGCGACGCAGACACCACCAAACAAGTATAACTGCTCACGTGGCCCACAGCGCCGGCTGCGGCGTGGAAGTATCATCTGGCTTTGCTTCTGGTCGTCCGTTTGTGTGCAGGTTAAACAAATGGACTCCAGTCATTATGCTAAGCTAGGCTATCAGTCATTATGCTAAGCTAGGCTATCACTTATTTACAATATGACTTAATCTGTCGATTATTTTCTAGATGAATCGATTGGTTGTTCGGTTCAGATAATCCAGAAAAATGTTCATTAATGTTTCCCAAAGCTCAAGATGACGTCCTACAACATCTTGTTTTGTCCACAACCAGAAGACATTTAATTTACTGTCACAGAGGATCAAAAAAATAATAAAATATTCACATTTGAGAAGCTGGAATCAGAGAATTTAGACGTTTGTTCCTAAAAAAAGGGTTTCTAAGTGATTAATCGATTATCAATATAGTTAATTTAATAGTTGACAACTAATTTATCAAGTAATCGTTGCAGCTGTAGTTGTGACAGCTTTTGTTAATTGTTATCATTCTGTCTGACAGATTTCCCTGTGCGGACAATACTCATCAATCAGAATGAACAAAGTTAAACATGAAGCCCTAAACCTGGACCTCTCCAGACCTTGATCCAGCTCTCAGACCGGTTCGTGTTTCCACGGTGCAGGATGCACCAGAGCAGATGTTAAACGGTCTAATAATAAAGAAATAATCAGGAGGACGCTAAAGAAAAGCTGCAGAATGAAGCTGCTGTTAAACTCAGTGGCTAATTTATCAATAACAAAGAACATTTTAGCTTAACTTACAAACTACAACAACAGTTTGCCTACATGCTGCTATCTTAAAGCTAACTACCTCCAGTAGATAATACATTACAATATTTAAACACGACAGAATAAAAACATATTTACTTCTGAGTGGAACAAAAAACCGCAGCTAACAAGCTAAAGTTAGCCACGAGCTAACTAGAGTCACTGACCGCCGCAGCGGTTAGTTAGCGACATGCTAACGGAGGCTAGCTGAGAGCAAACAGTCGTACAGGTATGAGGTCGGTGTCACCTGTATGAGCTCGTCCAGACTCTCCTGCAGGCTGTTTCCCAGAGTGGTGTTCCTGTACAGCTGGTACGCCATGATTGGAAACTACGGGAAGAACAAATAACTACAGTAAACTATCCTTCAAACACTCACACGGAGCTAACAGGGCTAACAGAGCTAGCCGCTTCCCTCCACAACAAGCGAGCGGCAGACAGGAAGCTTCCGGTTACACGTTTCAAAATAAAAGAATTTCAGATTAGGCTCCTGATTCAGATTCTGTAATAATAATAATAATAATAATAATAACCTTCAAATTTCAGGCATGTAAAAACACCACATACATACTATTTAATATGATAAATCTCAAGGGGTTATCCCGAAATAAATTCAAATTCAAATATACCGGTACATTATAAAGTAAGCCAATAATGATACAAGGAATATACAAACAACATTTTATATATAACCTATACATGTAAATGCTAAAAATATTTGGTAGAATATGTTTTAAATTTATTTATATTTATATTATATATCATCTGAGAAATTTAGAGTGGAAATTTCTTAAATTAGTATTGTGTAATAATAATTATTATCAAATAAAAATAATAATATAATCTTATATGAGAAATTACAAGCAGGTAAAATACCACGTACTTACTGTAAAATATACATTATTTACATTTATCTGACTCTTTTATCCAAAGCGACTTACAACTGCTATACATGTCAGAGGTCACGCCTCAAAAGCAACTAGGGGTTAAGTGTCTTGCTCAGGGACACAATGATGAATGTCTCACAGCTGGAATCGAATCCGGGTCTCCCACACCAAAGGCAAGCATCTTATCTATGCTTGCATACTATATAGTATACAATATTTAAACAAATTTATTATAAGGCAAGCCAATAATGATATATGTAATATACAAAAACATCTTACATGTATAACCTATATACGTACATGCCTAAATATTTGGTTTATGTTTTTCTATGTATATATTGTGAGAAGTTTAGAAGCAAAATGTCAAAGCCAGACAGGTTGGAACTACTGGGCAGTATTTATTTCAAATATGTATTTCAAATACAAAATAGGATTCTATAATTAATATTTGATAGGGTTGATGAAAATAGCTTCATATTTTGCATCATAACACTTTTTGTATTATGTAGTATAAAAATACCGTAAAGTACTCTGAGACGCTGCCTCTGATTGGTGCCTGCTCACTAACTTTCCCAGGTCTGTTGAGGTCAGAACAGAAAATTGATTGGTGGAGGAGGAAAGTTTCATCTGTGCTATTTATGTATTTCATATGTATTTTCATTCGCAGTAATCACAACCTTTATTTGTAGAATAACACAATTTTAACCCTGATTAAATTAAATTTAAAGTGTCTCTGCTCAGTGACGTTCTCTAACTCATTGATTTATTAATCTTTATTTAAACTGGAGCTGAGGAGAATCTGTAAGAACGTCCACCAGATGGCAGCATAACACAGAAAACCACCTCCTTTCTAAAGTCCTCCTGGGCTTCTTCATCACTCGTGTTTCTCTCAGAAGAAGCCGTTTCTTCTTCTCTGGCTTCAGTGCTCCCAGTGCGTAATATCAGCTAAATGTACTGATTCTGCAGAACGTTCACAGGTTTAAATTATTACAGAATATTTCAGTATTCTGTTTTTATATCCCAGGACATGTTCATGGACACACAGCTAAAAGAATGTGATCAGATGCAGCTCAAATGTCAGTTTATCCTCAATGCGTCCTGGGTTCCTTCACCTGTACTTTTGTTATTAGGTTTTTGTGCTGGTTTCTTTACTTGTTGCCTGCCGCGTCATCTCACATTCCCGTGAGCTAGAATGAGCTAGAAACATGAACCTTGGGAGAATAACTGGAACTGATGTGCAAATGCTTCCACAAAAACATGAGCCCAGTCGGCCACATGGTGGCGCTGTAATTAAGGCTTAGTAATAGGTGTGTTTGACTTTATGAACGTTACTTTCGTATCGACCACTAGGGGGCGCTATAAACGCATAACAATTGGAATGATCCAAAGCAAGCTGTATATCAGGAAATATTAGTCCAGTCGTTACAACACTTGCAGGATCTGTTTCACAACAATGTTGAACCACATGTGTGAAATTATTTTGAAGTTGCTATTGAGGAAAAAGGTTTGAACCCTTGAATCAGGAAGCCTTGATCGCTCATGGTGGGAAACCTGCTGATGAACCTACCTATGAACAGGTTTGAAAACACCGGCTCCAGGTGTAAACACGGCCTCTCTTTCTGAACCAGGACCTGCACGTGTGGCGGCTCAGGTTTCCTCTCCGCATGGAGTTAAAGCGGCGCCTCGCTGCTGGAAGTGTTCCTGTGTGATGGATGTTGTCGCTGAGCGTCGTGAACGGCTGTTTGCTAATGAACAGATCTGTTTAGCCAGCCGCTCCGCTGACCTCTGACCCCACTCAGTCTCCACGCCGAGGGGAAAATAAAGCACAGCGGCGCTCGGTAAATACGGACGAGGACGGAAAACGCAATTATTGCGAGGGAGTGTCGGCTCAACATGAAGAGAAATGATAAAAAATGATTCATGAAAAGAAACACAGTTTTAGATCTTCAGTCTGTTAGAGCGGGAAGGACTGATGATGAGACACCAAACAGGAAGTGCTTAATGAGCGCTGAATTACAGCAGCTCACCTGTCTGTCTGTCTGTCTG